TAGTTAATAATTTAGTCATGTCCTGCTATCACAATAATTCAACTATCATTTAATAATTCAGTAAAATTTCAAAATGGATTTTTGAGTTCACCCTTAGGGTAAATTATCTATACACCATGCATAGTATAATCAGGAAGGGGCAAACACACTTTTGAATCTCTGAAGAAAGCCACCAAGTATGTATGGGCCAAACAGCATCACATCATTAGACTCAGGAACCATTACGGGGGAGAATACGTAAATTCATGCTCTCTACAATACGCTTTTCTGAGTCTAACTCACAGGAGTAATGAACAGAAAAAACAATATTTGGTAATTTTCAAGGAATAAGAGAGACATGTATTAGATTTTTGCAGGTTTTAAAAAAGTTATTATAGTCACATGGTGAAAAAGTCGGGTTCCCAGAGAGAAATAGATGGCATATTCAAAGTGTGCAATTTGAGGAAGAATTTAAGATAGGGGCAAAAGTGACAGCCACGATTCAGAGCAGTAATTTGGCAAATGTCATAGAACTAGTAAGCTATATAATTGTCATTACAACTTAACTCTTTCTGACTATAAAGTTCACAGATTTAATGTGATATCACACTTTTCATATGTCCCTTCTCACTGTTTGGAATGAACAATTCAAGGAAAAGAAACCCATGTCTCAAAATATCTCAGCAGACTCGTTCGTGTGTACAGTGCTCTGGAGGTTAATATTTTGAGCACAAAACAGGTTGCCCTGTGATTAACAGGAAAAAAAAATGAAGACGAGAGTTTTTATACATTTAATACAATTATAATTACTCATAAGAAAACTGTCTAAAATATTTCAATTTTTGTCTTATTTATAAGAAAAAGAAATTTTCTTCCCAAATAATCTGTAGGCATTTGATGAGGGGGACTGATAATTAATGCAACCACTGAGGTATTTGGAGAGTATAAGGGGGTGTTCTAAAGAAAGTTGCCAGGGGCAGTGCCTGTGGCTCAAAGGAGTAGGGCGCGGGCCCATATGCCAGAGATGACGGGTTCAAACCCAGCCCTGGCCAAAAACTGCAAAAAAAAAAAAAAGTTGCCAGAAGACCTGAACCATACATGCTATGGTCTCTGTGCTTAATTTCTTCCTTAGTACTTCACGTCTTTGACCCTTCCTTTAACTTTACTAATTCAGCCTTATTTCAGAGTCAGACTCATGCCAACGAATGAGACCACCTCTTGGAACTTGACCACAGAACATATCAAACATACACTCACACTATCCTCAGCATCTATAAGGGAAGGGACTGTTACACACCAGGAGATTGCAAAGGTCGATTACTCTTCTAGTCTTGTATCCGGTTAGACCTATCATGCCTCCCATCCTCATTATCATGTTACCCCATCTACAGTACAAGATCATCCACTCATCTGTCTTTTCCTGTATTGTTATTTGTGTAATGTTTAGAGATTCCCTTCCCTGACCAAACTGACCATCTCCCTACTACCCAAATCATAATTGAGAAACTTCAAGAAGAATTGAAATTGGCATAGCTCCTCCTGCATTTAGGAGTGAAATTACTTTAAGATGGTCACTAAAACGATTCTTAAATCAGTACAAGTTTATAGGCCTAAATTTCCAAAATATAGGTTTGAATTTTAAGTGTGTTGGGGTGATTGGGATGAATTAAAAGATGAATAAAAGAAACATCCAGGTGGTGTCATAAAAGAGAAATATATCACTTCTTCTTGAGGACAACCAGATGAGGCAGAAACATGCTCCCTGCTTATGCCATCACCGCAGACACCTGCTGTCACTCCACTCACCAGGTATGAGGTTGTCCACGTATCCTGAGATGCAGCTTGCTCACCTTTTGTTTCCATATTTCATGCTAAGCAACTGATGGACAGATTAGAATATGAAGGATGCTCTCTACTTAAATACCAAGGTTTCCTGATCTTTCTCACAAGAGAAATTTTAAAGATTCTAAGGAAAAAGAGCTTCAGACCAAATGTCAATATTATATTCAAATTATCTTCAACTTCTTTTATTCCCAACACTATACCAACATTTTTTTTTTTTGAGACAGAGTCTCATTATGCCACCCTTGGTAAAGTGCTGTGGTGTCACACCTCACAGCAACCTCAAACTCTTAGGCTTCAGACATGCTCTTGCCTCAGCCTCTCAAGTAGCGAGGACTACAGGCGCCCGCCACAATGCCCGGCTATTTTTCAGTTGCAGCTGTCATTGTTGTTTGGCAGGTCCAGTCTGGGTTCAAACCTGCCAGCTCCGGTGTAGTGGCTGTGACCCTAGCTACTGAGCTACGGGCACCGAGCCCTATATCAATATTTTCTAAGTCTTTCATTCCAGAGTATCATTTATACAGTCTCTATTAGATATACAGTTCCTTATAGGGACAAAGAAACATTCAACTTATACACGGTCAGTCTTAAATACGTTCTGCATTAATGTAATCATTTATCCTCTGTTGAGACGATAGATAGACGCTTTTGCTTTTGTAATAGGCTTTAATATTTTAAGTGGAAAATTATCTGTATATTTTATAGGGTTTTAATATAATGCAAACTAGAGGTTTGTAATCTGGGATCTCAGAGTAAAGTGGAACTAAGTGCAGTTCAACTTCACCTCTGTGATGGTTACTGTTATGTGTCAACTTGGCTAGTCTATAGCGGTGCTCAGACACTTGTCCAACCATGAGTTTAGGTGATGCTGTAAACTACTTGTCTAGTTGTAATTACTATTTAACTCTTTAGTCTTTATCAGATTACATTGTATAATTTGCATGGGCCTCTCCTAGTCAGTTAAGGCTTAAAGAGAAAAAAACTGAGATCTTCCAAGGGAAAAAAGAATTCTTTTAGACTACATTTGAACTTGAAACTGCAATAGCAACATTTTCCTAGTTCGTTGGCCTTTTAGATTTGACAGCCCCCACAAAATCTCTGCAAAGAGATTACATACCTCATTGCTAAGTATTACTATGGTCACTTTTAAGAGATGGAAAATATAAGCTATAAACTGGAAGACAACGTTGGCAAAACACATAATGTGATGAAAGGTTTTATCCAAAATATTCAAAAATCTCCTCCTAAATTTTAATAATAAGAGAAATACAATTAAAAATTGGCAAAACATATGAACGTCTTATATAGGCTATAACTAAGCATATGAAACAATTTCCAACATTATACTTTTTTAAGAAATTGCAAATTAAATCAATGAGCTGTCTACTAGACATCTCTACATGTCTATTAGAATAACAGAAATCCAAAACTCTGAAATTCCAAAAATTCTGGTAAATATTTAGAGGAAGAGTATCCCTTATTCTTTGCTAGTGGAAATCCAAACTGGGACAGCTACTTTGAAAAACAGTTTAGCAGTTTCTTACAAAGCTAAACATAGGCTTATTATATGGTCCAAATTTTCTCACTCACATCTTGGGTTTGCAGTTCCAAGCAGGGCAGAGTAAATAGATACTTTTCTTTCCCTTACAAGCAATACAACTATAAAATCTGTGAATAATGCATACCCAGATATATGAGGACTCTGGAAAAAAAAATAACAATAGACAGTGTGTAGCACATCACAATCCAACATGCCACTAAGCCTCTGTTGAGTTTGCCATTTTTTCTTCTTCTGGTATCTCCAGCCTAAACTTGACCTAGTAAGAATTCATAAAGAAATAAGCAATATGAGGCAGAGAGATAGAGCAGTACAAGAATGTTCCCTTGTGAGCAGCAAGAGGAGAAACTTACAACTCAGAAGGAATAAGGGAAAAAAGTCTCATTTTTGGTTTACCTTTGTTTTGTTACTTTTTGTGCCATAGTGTCTAAGAAATTCCACAATGGTAATAGGAACTTGTAAAAATAAGCATTTGATGAGGTGGAAAATTTTTTCTTCATTCAGTAAGTATGAAGTTCCACGAGAACAAGGGCAAATGCTCTTGCTTTTCTTTTCTTTCTCTCTCTCTCTCTCTCTCTCTCCCCCCCCTCTTATTCTTGCTCTTGGCTTTTATCTCTGCCACTTGATTGGGAGGGTTCAGTGCAATCAGAGAAGTGAGGAGTGTCTCCTGGTACAACAAATAAGGCAACTCTTCAATAAGAGAAAAGTATTTGGGAAATAACACAGGTTGGGAAACTGACCTCTAGAGCTGATTGTGGACTCTTGGGCTCACCACTAAAATTGCACACCTGTGAATCTGATACGAATTAGCATATCAAAGACTGTGAGAGCTGGCCACATGGACAGATGTCCACCCACGTCCTAGACTGGGCACTGGATGACTCACAAATGAGATATATTTGAGTGGCACAGAACAGACTTTGAAAACAGAACTAATGTTGGAGAACCAGCTCCAAGATGACTGGATATAATCTTTAGCTCTCTACAAATATCAAAATTCTCCATAAGATCTAAGTAGGATGTAGTTCTCATAATGCAGTATTCAAAATGTCAAGGTACAATCCGTAGTTACTTACCATCTAAAATAATGTGAAGTCACTAATATCAAATCACATAGAAAATGGTGATCAAATGAGACCAATGATGACATAGGTATCGGTATTATCTGACAAAGATTAAGAAATAGTTACTATATCATTCTTTAAAAAATTAATTGTGAACACTTTTAAAACATACATCAAAAATAGACAGTATCAGCATTCAGAGAATTAAGGAGAAGACAAATGCAAATTAAAAATACACAATAATTAAAGGAAAAGTAGTTTAAAATGGGCCCAAAAGCAAAATGAAATTACAGAGAAAAAATAATCAGTAACTTTTAGATAGTTCAATAGATACCATCCAGTATTAAGAGAAAGAAAAGAAGATGAAAAAATGTATGTGAACAAGACCTCAAAGACCTGTGGAACATTACCAAATGATCTAATATTGCATGACTTCAGTCCCAAATAGAGCATAATAACTGTAGTGAGAAAAAATAATTGAAAATAATGACATAAAACTTCCCTAGTTCAGCAAAAGACATAAACTTACATGTAGATCCAACAAAGCAACCAAACCTGTGCTGGCTTCTGCAGCACATACACTAAAATTGGAATGAGACAGAGAAGATTAGCATGGCCCCCCACACAGGATGATATGCAAATTCATGAAAAACTCCATATTTTTAAAGTGTTGGAACAAAGGGGGTCTGCTTTGGAAAAAATCCTCCTCTAGGTAGAGCCATGTGAAAATCTCAAGTCCCAGGCAAACGCTGGTTTTGACACAAGCCAGGTTTTGCTGCAGGAAATGTCTCCTAAAAAACATTTGCACAAACATGGCTCACAGGTTAAGAACATGAAAGGTAATTCACTTATAAAACATCAAAATTGTTGTGAAAGACAAAAGGCCAGAGACAGCAGTGGTTGTAGGAAACCCTCCAACTGGAGAGCTAAGTAAATTATATTGATAAGAATTCGCAAGGGGAGCCAAGTTCACAGGTGTAGTGAATGTAGTAAAATGTTTTAGAACCCAAGATACTTTTCTGGGAATAAGAAAATCCACACTGGGGAGAGGCCCTATGTGTGTCAGGACTGTGGGAAAGGGTTTATTCAGAGCTCTTCCCTTTACAGCATCAGGGAGCTCACTCTGGAAAGAGACCATTTGAATGTCAAGAGTGTGGGAGGACCTCCAATGATCACCTCCAACCATCTCCCAGCACCTGAGAACTCACACTGGAGCTAAGCCCTACTCATATCAGGACTGTGGAAAAACCTTCTGCCAGAGCTCCCACCTGCATAGGCATCAAAGGACACACACTGGGGAGTGCCCATATGTGTACTGGGAATGTGGAAAGGCATTTACTCAGAGCTCACACCTTATTGGACACCAGAAAACCCACAATAGGACAAAGTGGAAGAAGAAGTAGCCTACTTCATAGCTCTCAAGCCAGTTGAAGAGACAGTGCCTCTTCAACTTGATCCTACAATAGAACATGCATTGGATGGTTGGGAATTGGGACTGCATGTGAAAGAAGCAGTCAAAACATTCCCAAAGCCAAAGAACCACCAAGGACACCACATTCTTTAATGAGTAAAGAAGAAAATGAGTAAGGAGTTGTCAATACATTGAAGAAAAAAAGATTTAATTTTTCAGTCAGTTGATGTGCTACTGTTTGCTCATTTGTTTAGTCATTAAAAGTTATATTAGTAAAACCTGAAAATGCTTATAATTTTTTTTTGAGACAGACTCTCACTTTGTTGCCATTGGTAGAGTGCCATGGTGTCATATCTCACAGCAACCTCAAACTATTCAGCTCAAGTGATCCTCTTGTGTCAGTTTTTCATTTTTAGTAAAGATGGGGGTCTCTCTTGCTCAATCTCAAACTCTTGAACTCAAGCGCTCCATCTGCCTTGGCCTCCCACAGTGCTAGGATTACAGGAATGAGCCATCCCACCCGGCCAAAAATGTATGTAAATTAAAAAAGATAGGCACTTAATAATCTGTGCACTGATTTTGTGTCCACAGTAAAATTGTGTGTGTGGACAAGGACATGTAAAACAATGTGGTTAAATAAAATATATATTTCTGTGTAAAAAAAAATAAAAAAATAAAGTGAGCAAACCCTAAGTAGAGTGAATATAAGAAAATCTATGCTTATATAAATTGAAATTAAGTTATCAAGTTAAAAACAAGGGAAAAAATATTAAAAGTAGAAAGACCAAAAGAACATATTGCCTATAAAAGAACAATTCAAATGACTGTCAGTTTTTCACTGGAAAAAATAAAGCCCTGAAAAGTTAGCACACATTTTTAAAGTGTTAAAACAAAGGAATTATAAATCCAGAATTCTGTATCTAGTAAAACTATCATTTAAGAATGAAGGGGAAATTAAACATACTCAGATGAAAGAAAATAGGGAGTCTTCACATCAAGAAAGTTTGTTCTAAAACATGGTAAAAGAACGTCTTCAAACAAACAAAATGTAATACTACAGAAAATATGAAAGTTCAGAAATTAAGAAGGATCAACAAAATGGTAAATATTTGAGTAAATATAGTAGTATTGTCTTCTTTAAATTTTATGTGATGACTGAATATTAAAAATACATTAGTACATAGGCCTTTCAATATTTGTAGATATAATCAATAAGAAAACTATTGCATTAATGGGGATAACCTAGGAACCTATGTAGTAGTACTATAATCTTTTACATTTAAATTGAAGTTATATTGTTATATCCAAATAGCCTTTGGAAATAGAGCTCTGATTTTTGTAATCCCTTAAGTAACCATTAAACCAATTATACAAAAATTGTTTTCAAAATCAAAGTGGTAAATTAAAAATAAAATGCTAGGATGTTCAAAACCCCCCCAACAAAGAAAGGGGGAACACAAGGAATAATAGTATAGGAAACAAATAATAAATGGTATGTCTAATTTCAACCATATCATAACATTAATGATCTAAATATACCTATTCAAAGACAGAGATTGGCATATTGGATAGAACATATACTTCTCATAAGACTATCATTTCAAGTATAATGATATAAGTAGGTTAAAAGAAAAATGATATAGATATCAATGAAACAGAATAGAATGCCCCAAAATAAATCCTTGAGTATACAGTCAACTCAAATTAGAAAGTACATCAAGAATATGTAATGGAGGGCAGTAGGGCACCAACCCCATATACTGGAGGTGTCTGGTTCAAACCTGGCCCCAGCCAAAAACTAAAAAAAAAAAGGCTATGTAATGGGGATAGCATAGTCTTTTAAATTATTGGGAAAACTGACAATCCTATGCAAAATAATGAAATTGGACCATTGTTTTATACGATACAAAAAAATATCAGTTTAAACTGGATTAAAGATATAAATGTAAGACGTGAAACCTTGAACATTTAGAAGAAAATACAGGGAAAATTATCCTTGATATTTGTTTTGGCAGTGATCATTTGGATATGACACAAAAAGCTGAGGCAAAAAAGCAAAAATAAAGCAGTGGACTATTCAAAACTAAAATGCTTCTGCCTAGCAAATGAAAGTCAATAGACTGTTGGGGGGCACCTATGGCTCAAAAGAGAAGGGCGCTGGCCCCATATGCCGGAGGTGGTGGGTTCAAAACCAGCCCCAGTCCCTCAAAAAAACTGCAAAAAAAAAGTCAATAGACTGAATAGGCAACTCATGGAATAACAGAAAATATTTGCAAACCATACATCTGATAAGAGGTTAATCTCCAAAATGTATAAGAAACATGCATAACTCAATAACAATATTTTTAGAAAACCTAATAATTGATTTTAAAGTGGGTTGTCTTCTTTTGTTTTGTTTGGGGGTTTTTGGGTTTTTTTGGGACAGAGCCTCACTCTATTTTCCAGGCTAGAATGTTATGGCCTCAGCCTATCTCACAGCAACCTCAAACTCCTGAGCTCAAGCAATCTTCCTGCTTTGGCCTCCTTCCTGAGTAGTTGAGAGTACAGGTCTCCACCTCCATGCCTAGCTATGTTTTCTATTTTTATAAAGATGGAGCCTTGCTCTTGCTCAGGCTGGTCTCTTACTCCTGAACTCAACCTATCCTCCCACATCGGCCTCCCATACCGCTAAGATTAAGGCATGAGCCACCATTCCTGGCCAGAAAACGCGTTAACATCTTAAAGAGACATTTCTCCAAAGAAGACATGCAAATGGCCAGCAGGTCTATAAGGAGATGCTGAACATTACTAATTACCAGAGAAACATAAAACCAAATGTAAATAAGCTATCACTTACATCTATTAAGATTTATATCATTCAAAACCAAAAATAAATCACAAAGCAAATTTTGGTGACAATGTGGAAAAATTGGAACTCTGGGTTACTATTAGTGGCAATGTAAAGTAGTACAGCCACCCACTGTATATATTCCTTCCAAGTGCACAGGAATAATTCAACCTGCTAGATTACATCTAGGGTTAATAAGAAAAACAAAAAAAACTTAAAATACTTAAAATACAAAATATGCCCTTTGAGTATATTGGAATGAAATGAAAAATAATGGAGAGATAACAGGAAATGTTCTAATAAGTTGAAAATTCAACAACAGAGAGTAAAAAAAAAAAAAAAACCTAGGGATAAAAGAAGAAGTTTAACAAAAGTTTGGAAAATAATTAATAAAAACACAAATATAAAATATCAAAATTTGTATACTACAACCCTAGCAGTAAAACAAAACAAAACAAAAAGTCAGTTATAAAAAAGTTGGTTCTTTGAAAAGAGTAGTGAGACTGAAAACTCTCTAACAATAATCACGAAAAATGTCAAAAAAAGAAATCATTAGTAGCAGAAATTAAAGAAAGAGTATTAATACAGATTCCACTTTGAGGCTATTAAAAATAAAAATATTAAAACCCCTCAATGATATTATTGGAAAGATAATAACATCCTATCACAAACAACTCTGTGTAAATAAATTTGATAAACTGGACCAATTCCTCAAAAATTTCAAACTGCTAACACCCACACAAATTTGAATAGTCTTGTTATTAGTAAAGACATTGAATGTATCATTAAAATCTTCCAGATAAATGTCTCCATGCACACATTATTTCACCAGTGAACCTACAAACCTTAAAGGAATCAACAAAGCTGATCTCACAGCGTTTCTCCCAGCAACAGATGAAGCAGCACTGCCCAACTCACTTTACGACGGCGGGATTACCCTGATACCTCAACCAAACAAAGACAGAACAAAAGCAGAGAAACAACTGATAAACCACAGGCCAGTTTCTTTCATAAAATAGAACACAGAATTTTCAAGAAAATATCAAATTAACTTCATCCATATATAGAAAGAATATAATGCAGGACCACGCAGCATTTGTCCTGAGGATGCAAGGCTGATTTATTCTTCAGAAAACGATCAGTATAATCCGCCGCATTAAACATCTAATGAAGGAACAAACATATAACTATATTAAAGGATGAAGGGAAGCATTTGATAAAATATAAATTCTGTTCTCGATGAAAGTTCTCAGCAAAATAGGAATAGAAGGCCACCCTCCCAATATGATAAAAGGCATTGTATTATATGGGGAATACAGCCAACATCCTATTACAGGGGGAAAGACGGAATGCTTTGCTACTGAGATCTGAGCAGGGTATCTATTCTCTCTTCACTTTCAGTCAATGTTCAACACTCATCACTCCT